CACACGGCTCCAGAGTTTGTCTGTTAATGAGGCAAACCTTTGTGGTGGTCCTAAATTGGAACCATGAAATGAGATTAGGCTGAATCTGGACGTGGGCTTACCAGAGTTGCTGGGTATTGTGGGATCGGGTGGGTATTTTCCTGAAGTCAGAATGTCGGGAATGAAATAGATACCAACTGGGGTGGTAAGAAAGGCTGTTTTTATGGTTCTGTGGTGGGGGCACTCAAACTCTATTTTAAAATAGGTTAAGCCTGTAAATGCATGTTCACATTGATGGTAGTAATTAGAGAAGACTTACCACAGTTGTTGGGGGCCTGGAGGAAGAGGGTGGGACATCACTGGATAGTCACTCCTGACCTAAGGGACACATGTGGAATTAAGAAGAAAATTATTTCTTATTTTCTCCTGAATTAGCATCCTGTCTCTGTAAGGGGCCTGGAAAATAGAAACAATGTTGCAGAAATAACTAAAAAGCAGTCCACATTTAATTTTAAGGGCTGTTAAGAATTTGGGATCCATGGGCGCCTGGGTGGCTCAGTCGGTTAAGTGACTGCCTTCGGCTCAGGTCATGATCCTGGAGTCCCGGGATCGAGTCCCGCATCGGGCTCCCTGCTCAGCGGGGAGTCTGCTTCTCCCTCTGACCCTCCTCCCTCTCGTGCTCTCTCTCATTCTCTCTCGCAAATAAATAAATAAAATCTTAAAAAAAAAAAAAGAATTTGGGATCCAATCTTGAGGCTGAATACCCTTCAGTATTCAAGGTCTGGCAGTGGTATCAGAGTATAGCAGGAGCCTTTGGTGGAGGATGATACAGGTCTTCATTGTTAGGCGGGTAGTCACTGTAAATGGCATCTCCACGGTCTGCTTAGATGCTCTTCCTAATTAAGGAAGGATACTAGGTGGATAATGTCAGTTATAGATCCATGTTCTAAAATGGAAAAGTCCTTTTTGGTGATTTGCTTCTTTCATCTCTTAGCTCTCCCCTCCGTGTTAGCATCACCAAAGTGCCTAAAATTTGGATGAGCTATTTGTTCTGCACTGAAAACCTGCCCTCCGTGCTGCTAGACCAGATAGATGGTAAAGAGTGTTGGATTCTGATGGGAACCTGGGGTTGAATTCCTGAGTACCCTAAGTTTTGTCCCTTCCTCCAATTGTGAGAGTATCTGATGAGGCCAAAAGCCTCTGGAACCCAAATTAGCACTGGCAAGAGGGAGCGTGCAGAGGTATCGGCCCTGTGGGAGGCTGGATTATGATCAGAAAATGGGGCAGGGACTTGAACTGGCAGTGGTGTGGAGCAAAGACTCTTGCCCAGTCTGTGGGCGCTGGTTGGGGCTTTTGCAATCTCTGGAAAGAGGATCTGGAGCTGCTTCTTTGGCGCAGGGTGCTGAAAGACAAAAGGCCAGTTGTTCACATGTTGGGTAAGGATACACACCCTTGAGAGTGTCAGTTCCTAGGTTGATGGTAACTGGAAGAGCTTTTGGGGTGACTTTGAAGAAGCTAGAGAATAGGTTAGAAATCATAGGAGTAGAAATTGCTTGTCCTTTGCGATAAGGCAAGAGGGAAAAGGGAATTAATTACTTCTATTCACTGGATCTGTGGATCTTGCCTGTGTGGGTAGTCAGGTGATAACTCTTCTTCTTAGCTTTCTACTTGGGCAGAAACTATATAAAAGATAAGTTAACATTGAGGAAAGGGCAAAAGCTTAGAAGGAGGAGAAAGCCTTGGCAGAAACTTATAAGGAAACCAGAGACAAAACCGGAGTGACTACATCTCCTTCCCTCTCTCTGTGTGTTCCTTCTTTCTTCCCTCTCTTCCTTCCTACAAACATTTGAGTGTCTCCTACATGCCAAGCTCTTCCTAGGTACTGAGGATAAAACAAGACTCATTCCTTGCTCCAGAAGAGCTCATATGTAGTGGGGAGCTAATGTCATGGCTGACTGTAGGGCATGGGGTGTGAGAAATGGGTTTCCAAGGACTGCTTTTTCTGTGTGTCAGTAAGAAGGGGGCTAAGAAAATAGAGACCCTCAGAATGGATTCTGAAGTTACCTTTGTAATTGCCACAGAGCTGAGGATGGAGGACCAGCTGACACATGTAGGCTAAGGATGCATACCCCACATCCTTACGGCTTCTCTTTGGGTGGTGGTACAGATACTGGACAGGGGTCTGAAGTGAAGCAGGGCTAGGATGCTTCCTGTGTCCCCCGTGCCACACTCAGGCACAGTGGCAGGGGTAATGTTATCACCTCTCCTCTCCCTGAAGTACCTTTGTGTTGCTGTGGGTTGTCTGGCTGCAACTCACCTTGAGTTCTCTCTTGGTCATCATGTTATGTGCGAAAGGGAGAACAAGGAAGTTGTGAGAGGTTTGGAAAATATAAAACAAAGAAGAAAGAAGAAACAGCCTTATCCCCAAACAACAACAACAGCAGCAAAACTGAAGAAAAACATTTAGGTATCCAGTTTATGGGTCCCTGAAGTCCAGGAAGCTCAAGGACCAGCCCCAGGACCAGAGAACAAATAACGCTCTTATCAGAGAATATTCTACTAGCATTTAAGGGTTGGTTAAGGGTCTCTGCTGAGGCTTGGGAACCAAAAAACTCCTAGGTTTTCACTCCTTGATGAGAGAACCTCTTTGGGGGAGGTGCTTTTGTGCAGGTATTTAAAAACTTCTTACAGGTGCAGGGTACAGAGAGTTCCCAGAATATAGGCCTTCTGAGGGAGTCATGTTTGTTATGAATCTAGGTTTGATTTGTAAAACAGGCATTAAAGAGTAGCTGTAAGTGTCCAGAGTTTGGGGGTAACCAGATTGGTAGGTCCTAACTGGACCTGGGAGACCTTTCCTACGTGGTTTATTTTGAAAGTATTTGCTGCTGCTGAAGCTAATTGGAGGAGGGACTTAAGGTTGCCTGGCCACAGCCCTAAAGAACCTGGAATTAAGGCACTGGCTGGATAGATATCCTAACCCATAGACACAAGGCCAAGTGAAGAACATTGGCTCTTATTACTGTCATTTTGCCAAATGTTTTGAAGAGTGTTTGGTGTACCAAGGTCTTGGAATGGCAGTCAGGGCTTTAAGTTGTTGGATAGATATATCTTTACTAAACAATAGCATCGTATTTTTCTCATTTGCCAAGGGCCATTGGATACTTTCACAAAATTGCCACAGTCCTTGGACAGCATTTAATTTCCACTGATCTAGCTCAGCTCTACAGCCTCAGCAACAAGGGCATGAAGTCAATAGCTTCCCCGTCTTTGCTTCTGTGAGCAGATGGCCAAGGAAGGAGTTCTGCGTCATCAAGAATATGGCCAGACACTTTGTGGAGATTCTGAAATCTCTGGCTTATGGATTGATTAGGGGTTCTCACTCTGCTTCCCCCTAGAGGAGGTGTTTCTCTATGGCCAGTTAACAGATTTCACAGCATCTTAACCTTTTATAAAGTTTGGAAGTTTGTTTTCTGGCTCTCATATTTCCCTTTTGGTGTGTGTACTGCCTTTTCTCAGATGATGTTGGCTCTTCTCCCAGCTGACTTTCAGCTGTTCTTTGGGAAAAGGCCAGACAATTTACAACTACAGTGAAAAAAACAAAACAGAACAAACCCCCCAAAAACCTGTGTGTCTTACCACTTCTGGCATCTGGTTTTGTTTTGCTTCACTTTGTTTTGTTTTCCTTTAATTGGTGGTCAGTTCGTGTACCCAGAGGCCTGCAATTCTAATGACCTATTTTCTGGTATGCTTGCCTGGGAATAATCCATGATGGGTTCTAATCTGTATCTCTCATGGTCCACTCACACTTGTTTAATTTTTAGAAGAACTGCTTGTTGAAAGGGCATGCCATTGAGTTTCCCCTGGGTAGCTAGCAAGGATCCCAGTTTCAAAACTGAAAATTTTGGGTGTGAAGATGTTTTGAACAAGGAACAAGAGGCCTGTGTTCTCATCCTGGCACTGCCATTATTATCCATGTGAACTCGGGCAAGTCTCCAGATTTCTTTGGGTTGTGGTTTCCTCATGGGTAAAATTGGGATATTAATACCTACCTCACAGGGTTGTTGTGAGGATTAAATGTGCTCTGTAATCTGTTGTACTCTATAAATATTCATGAATTTTTGTTATAATTTAAGAGCCATTTGAAAGTATTCCCTGGCCACATAGCAGACATGCTAACACTTACACTATCTGATCAAGGGTTTTCATGGTCATGTGTTGCATATTGAAATCGCTGGAGCAAAATTTTATGTTTTTATATAAACATTTTTGTGTGGAAAGGGTCCATAGCTTTCATTGGTTTTCTAAAGGGGGGGGTCTATTATCCTAAAAAGGTAAAATCCAGTGCTTTAGATTGAAAAGTGGGATTCAGTAATGGGAATAAATGTATTGCTTCCAAAAGATCCCTCTTAACATGGCTGCAGTAGTAGTTGCAATGTTTTTTCAATAGTGAAATTTTTAATGTGGCCTAATGACTGCTTGTTCAGAACATTTGAAACTGGGACAGAAAATTCTTGGCCATATAGTCATGGTAGCCATTAGGTTATCCAACTGTCTACAGTGTGAAGGCGGAGGTAAAACAAATTATTAGCTATGTGGCTCTAGGAAAGTCACCTTACCTCATGGAGTCTGTTACCTCATTTGTAAAGTGAAGGATTTGACCTTGAAGATTTCCAAAGTTCCTAGTTTGAATTCTCTAGGGAAGTGAGATCAAAGCTGGACTTGGATGAAGCCCTGTTGTGGCAGAAATGAATCAGGTTTTGTGTAAGAGGAGAAAGAGGGAGTGTCAGGGAGAGGAGGCGGGGCAGAGCATCCGGGGAAACCCCATTCTTGGTAAACGTGGGAAACAAGAGCCTGCTGAGGTGAAGAGCCAGAGTCATCAGGGCAGAAAGAGAGCTAGTGGGCTACTCCTAAAGATCCAGGACTCTGGTGGACCAGAGACTCAACCTCCAACTTTCACCCTGGGCCTGACTTGCCCTCAGTGAGCGAACACCCCATCTTCTCTGCACTCACAGAACTTCCAGTTCTCAGGGGCAAATGCCTGGAGTCTTCCCTCTTCCCACATCAGGTGGTCTGGCTACTTCAGGAGAATGCTGCCCTACAAATGCCTCAAGGCACAAGTAAGTCACACAGATGGAGAGGCTGTTGGAAGGATTAACAGAACCACTATCTGTACTGTAAGGGGTACTGGAATCCTCACCCCCACAAGAGGAATTTTAGGGGAAAGATCCTTATTTTTCTAAACTACCCTGATATAGTATTATTAACTAATGAAGTCCATAGTTTATATTAGATTCACTATTTGTGTGTGTGTGTGTGTATTTTAAAAACTGGGTTGTGGCTATTTTGGTGTCGAGTGGCTGGCTCATCATATGCTGGGTTTATATTTAACCGCCAAAGAAACTAGCAGACTGTTCTCCAGAGTGGTGGTACCATTTTACATTCCCACTACCAGTGTATGAGCATCCTATCCTCACCAACACTTGACAGTCTTTTAAATTTTATCAATTGTAATAGGTATTGGGCTTGGGCTTTAAATTTGCAATTCCCTAAGATTAGTGGCATTGAGCATCTGTACTTATTTACCATTCATATATTTTCTTTGGTGAAGTATCATACAGGTCTGTTCTCCTGCTCTCCATCTTTTATTATTGAGTTTTAAGAGTTTTTATATTTTAGATATAAGCCCCTTTATTAGATACATAATATGCAAATATGCTCTCGCAGGTAAGAGACTTGTCTTTTCATTTAATAGTGTCTTTTTAAAGAGCAGAATTGTATAATTTTGATAAAGTACATTTTATCAGTTCTTTTATAGATTGTGTTCTGGTGTAGTGTCTAAAAAAGTTGTCATCTATCTCAGGGTCATGAAGTTTTCTTCTGTTTTCATCTAGAAGTTTTATAGTTTTACATTTTATACACAGGCCTATGATCCATTTTGAGGTAGTGTTTGTATATGGCACAAAAATTTGTATATGGTACTTCAAAGTATGGCTCAAAAGTTTGTTTTGCGTAGGATATCCAGCTGTTGCAACACCATTTATTGAGAAGACTCTTATTTCTACACTGCTTTGCAACTTTGTCAAAGATCATTTTTCCCTTATGTGTGGTTCTATTTCTAGACTTTCTATTGTCTTCCACTGATTGTTGATTTTTATGTCAATACCACACTGCTTTAATTACTGTAGCTTTATAAGAAGTCTTGAAATCACATAGTATTTATTTGTTTTCTGACTTCTTTTTTCGAAGTTGTTTGGCTATTCTAGGTCCTTTGCATTTCCATGTGAATTTTAGAATAAACTTGTCAAAAAATGCCTGCTGGGATTTTTATTAGGATTATGTTGAATCTATACCTCAATTTTAGGAGAATTGCCATTTTAATAGTCTTCTGAATTATAAAACATGGAATAGCTCTCTAATTAGATTTTCTTTAATTTCTTTCAGCACATTTTGTAGTTTTGGTTACAGGTTTTACACATCTTTTGTCAGTTCATATTTTTTAATGCTGATATAAATAGTATTCTTTAAAATTTCCGTTTCTGATTGTCTGTTGCTGGTATTTACAAATACAACTGCATTTTGCATATTGATCATGTATCTTGCAAATTTGCTAAACTCACTTATTATAATAGTTTTTTTGAAGACTGCATCAGATTTCCTGTATATGCAACCTTGTCACCTGTGAACAGACAGTTTCATTCCCTTCCCACTATGGATGTTTTTTCTTTTTCTTGCCTTATTGGACTGGTTAGAACCTCCAGTGCAGTACTGTATAGAAATGGTGAGAGGGAACATGTTTTTCTTCTTTTTAAACTTGGGAGGAATGCATTCAGTCTTTAATAATTCAATATGGTATGATGTATAGATTGTTTAGATGTCTTTTATCAGATTAAGGAAGCTCTCTTAACTAGTTTGCTGAAAGTTTTCAATCAGGAATGGGTCTTGTCAAATGTCAAAGGCCTTTTCTGCATCCTCTGAGATGGTTATGTGTTGTGGTTGTTTTGAAAAAACAAATTAGCTCTGTGGACTAGGAAAAATGGGAATGGAGGGCTACATTTTTTAGAATAATACTCTGACCTTGTGATTCTCTAAAATAGGGGTCAGCAAACTTTTTCTGTAGTAAATATTTCAGTTAATCTTTTAAGCTTTGTAGGCCAAAGTGTCTGCCACTTACTCTTTGTTGTTGTTGTTTTAAAAACATTTCTTTAAAAAAGAAACTATTCTTAGCTTACATTTAAAATTTTTGGCCTGGCCACCTGAGCTAAAAAAAAAAAATGATTTTTTACAGGGGCGCCTGGGTGGCTCAGTCAGTTAGGTGTCTGCCTTCGGCTCAGGTCATGATCCCAGGGTCCTGGGATCGAGAGCAGCACATCGGGCTCCCTGCTCAGTGGGGAGCCTGCTTCCCCCTCTCTCTCTGCCTCCTCTCCGCCTACTTGTGCTCCCTCTCTCTCTCTGTCAAATAAATAAATAAAATCTTTTAAAAAATAATTTACATCATTACAGAGTTGGCTGTAGAGTTGCAAAAAGATGCAGCAGCAGGGACAGAAACACATGTAACCAGCAAAGCCCCAAATATCTACAATTGGCTCTTTTCCAGAAACACTTTGCCAACTCCCTATTCTAGAATATTGTCATAAAAATACTTCACAGGGAAGATTACATTTTCATATACTGTATCTGGCTCAGATTAAATTAAGCCATGGGTAGCAGCTTCTCTCCATCTGCACTGCTAGTCCCTAAACTGGGAATTTTTAAATAAGAGTGTGATTATTAAAATGCGTCATACGAAGAAGCAACTGAAGATGTCAATCTGGAAATTAATTGATGGCTACTGTGCTTGATTTCTCAGAATTTGGAAGACTTGGCTCTTTGGTTTAGAAGCAGCACTGGCTGAGACATGGTTCTTTGGAAACAGACAAGGTATGGTCTTGATTGTCTGGGTGTTGAGTACCCCTCCCGTAAGTGCATTTAACTGACACTAATACAGCGGTAAATCTGTTCCCCGCGTTGTTCTAAGGGTTTTATCCTCTGGGCTTCTCTCCTTGCCTAATGATACCAAAAAGTTCTTGCTCATAGCAGGTTGCTGAAAGGATTACATGTGGTTCGGTAACTTATCTAAGATGCTCCTACAGTGGTGGGGCCAGAATCTGGCGCTTTACTCTCAACCGTGCTGTTTCTCTAGTACACAGACTTGTCCATTCTCAGCCTCCTCTCTACCATCTGGTCTTCTTCCTCAGGTCTTCTAGTTGCCATAAAGACTGATGGGTGAGATAAGACTGAAAAGTCCCATTTGACACCCTTTTGAGTGAACTGGAAGATTTATAGCACTTTTTAAGAAGTGAGGGGGTCCAGAATGTTTTAGAAAGGGAGAGAGAGACAAGAAGTAATAAAACTAAAGAGACTAAGAACTAGGAAAGCTTCCATCCTTTTCTTTCCCTCTGACATGAAAACAGATTTGAAATTTGGAGGTAGTAAAGAGCTTTCCCTAGTTTTACTTCATTTGGATCAGTATTAACCAGTTTGTGGTTGTTCCTAATGAACCCCTCTGGGGTAACCACTGACTGCATGTTAATAATTACACTGACGACTTTAATTTTTTTTTTTTAAGATTTTATTTATTTGAGAGAGAGCAGGAGCACCGAGGGTGGGGTGGGGGGGTAGAGGGAGAGGGAGAAGCAGACTCCTCCCCGCTGAGCAAGGAGTCCAACGTGGGGCTCGATCCCAGGACCCTGGGATTATGACCTGAGCCGAAGGCAGACACCTGACTGAGCCACCCAAGCTCCCCAACACTGACTACTTTTAAAGGTTAAGAAGTGAAATAACCAAAATCAAAATATGTCATTCATTGTAAATTAGCTCTCAAATTTATTCCTGCTAGTGTGCACATCCCCAGGGACACTGCTTTCCTTCCTTGCGAGTGGGCAGAGGTTCATCTGTGCAGTGCTCAGTCCCACACAGATTCTTGCAGCTGAGCTCCTCCTGCAGCTAGTTCCCATTTGCAGCCCTGGGTTGGGCCTGATGTAGTCCGCCCACCAGCTCATGGTTCTTGGTTTCTCCTCTTTTACATAAATGTATTACTTTCTTGTATATATTATACCAGTTAAGTAGTGTGGGTCACTTCCTGCCTGGCAAGGGGCCCAGCATTTGACATGTGAGGGAGCCAGGGACAGTTACATTGTTAACAGACTACAGTCTTCTCATTTTTTCTTGAGCTTTCAGGGAACTCCGACCCTCCTGGGTTTCGAAAGCCTTTTTCTTTTACCCTGATTTGTCCTTTCCCAAGTACCCAGGCTCTGAAGTGGCAATTTTAAATATACTAACTCCATTTAAAAGTGCCATCTGATGTCTTCATCTATTGATTACTCAAGTTTGTTGTCTACTTAAAGTTGCTTTAGTTCTGTCTCCCGGCAGAATTATCTATTTTGGGGGGGGGGGGGCATGTTCAACTGTAGAGGTAATACATCTTTATTTCGGCAAATCCAGAAAATACAGATAAGCAAATAGAGAAAGATCAGAATCATCTGTAATCCAACCATCCAGAGTCAACTTGCTGGTATAATTTTAGTAGATTTTCTCACAGTGTTTGCCCATGCGCACATTTTTTTTTCTAGAAATAGGATTACTTAGTACAGTTCTGTGTTACAGACTTTTTAAATTTTTCTGAGCTCACACTCTTCTACAACATTGATTTTAATGATCTATCCCATAGGTGTGCTTTAATTCATTAACAAGTCTGCTCTTGTCCACCGGTCCCATTCTAGGAGGATTTTTATGTAAAAAAATGAATGAACACAACCTAAAGACACTTGAGAACAAGGGCCGCATGATACAGCATTTGGCTCTCTTAATGGGGAGGACAAGATTGTTTTGGTGGCTAAATACGGGATAGATGGGTTCGGTCATGTGGAGGGTCCTTTGAAATTGCGCATTTCCACTCAGGGAAGAAATGGTGTCACTATATGCCTGGAACCAAACATAAATGCACAAAAGCCTTCTTGAGGCCTCTGCTGTATCACAGTGTGACATACTTCTAAGTGATCCTAGGCCATTATAATAAAGTGTACTTTTGATGACATAGGATCTGACAAAGCATTTTTTTGTATGAAACTCTTTCAAAGACAACAAAAATGGAATAATATTTAGTTCTCTATGTAATAGACAACATACTAGTTGGAGTGTGAAAGTGTCATTTGGAGCCCTCACTTGTAAAAGGCAGCAAGAAATCTTGTTACCGGAATTACTGGAGCTTCCTTCCCTGGTTATAGACTGTACCAGGACCCCAAGTCTTAACTCCGAGAACAGGGTCAGGGGAATGTGGGTAGGTTTGTTCTTTAGTCCATTGGTTTGCTCTCAAGATGCCTCTGTTTAGGCCCAGCAATGTCAAGTTCAGGCAACTGCCCCAGTGGCTTCATTCGGCCTGGGCTGGCCTGGCTACAGTGAACTTACTTCACTGCTGTTCTCAGTAATTATGGGCTCGGTACATAGCCTCCCCATGGAGCCATGAGGCTTTCTCCTTTCCAAGATGCTTGGCCTCAGGGATGCCAAATATGGGTAGAAATGGAAATCCCAGCTACCCCAATAGATCCAGAATCCATCTTTTCTTCAACTTGGACAGTTTATCTTTAAAGCCTTGTTAGGTCTCTGTCATCTAATCAAACATAGTGGAAAAGGGGATTCTTTATGACTTAAGACAAATGTCTGATTGCACTTCTATAATGAAAGAAAGGCTTTCCAATTTGCTAAAGCACCCGAGTTATCAGTAAAAAGAAACATCTTACCCCATCACATACATTGCTATGTCAATGTTTCTCCTTCACCTAACACTAGCTCCCATTTACTTAGCCCTTTCCATGTCTCAGGCAATAGTATTCTAAATAATTTATATGCTTTTATGCCTTTAGCCCTCAAACAACCTGGCACTAGGTATTCTTACCCCAATTATTACCAATGTTGAAAATGAGGTACTGTGGTTCTATTATTTGCCCAAGAACACATGGTTATTAAACTTCTCTTTTGTGTAATGAGAGGGATATAATTATAAAATTGGAAATGTTTGGGAAAGAGTATAAAATGTAGTACTTCTGTTATAATCTTCATGAATTAAAGTTTTGCTGCTTATCTGTTATCTTTTTAAGAGTGGGGTAAGCCAGAAAATTCAAGTTCAGGGTAATTCCAAAATGTTAGCTCTAGAACTTAGAAGTGACATGGAAGTTTTGCAAAACATGGGGAAGATAGCTGCCCTACTCCTCCTGCAAAGAACAAATTTTGTAATCTTGGTTTTCCCTTCTTGGTGGACTAACTTTGGCCACTGCCCGCTGGGAAGCCTTTTCCCTTGCCCATTGCTCTTTCAAAGAGCCCCTTAATAGCACATGGAACTTTTAAGAATACAAGGCACAGGGACATGGCCAACTGTGCTTGCTAACAGTCTTGGAAGAAATTGTTTTTAAGGGAAACACTAATTGCAGAGACCAGAAAAAATTTCTCTAAGCTGAACCAAGTTTTGTCATTCCTAATGTTTGTTATGGGGAAGAAAAATTTTTTTCAGAGCCCTTGCAATTTCCTTAAGCAGCAACTGTTTTTCTTTGCAAATCAGGGATGAAGCAGGGCCTTGGCCCTATTGGTGAGCTTTCACATTTCTCCAGGGAAAGAAACAGATTTGAAGAATCCCCTACTCCAGAAGCAGAGGTGGAAAGGCGACCCACTTGTTGCGATGGTGTGGACAGTTGATTTCGTTTCCGTGAGGATTCCTGTCGGTGGCCGAGCACTAAAGTTGTCTCAGTGAGTGCACATTGCTGACAGTAGTAAGAGCCATAAGAATCACGTTCCATCTCTGCCTGCCACACAGCTGAACCTGGTGAATTCTTTGATCGCTAAAAGCCCAGATCGAATACCACTATGTCCTGTGCTGTTTGTTTTCCCCAGAAAAAAATGGACCCTTTTTGGACTTGTCACATGCCTTCCTGCCTTGATTTATTTGTTCCTAAACTGAGCTCTTTGAGAGCAGAAACTGAGACTCCTCTCTGGCATTACAGGACCTAGGGGCAGATTCTGAACTAAATTGTTGAAATCTGTCTAATACCAAGGAAGATGATAACATAAATAACATCTGTCTGTGGGAGGTAGTTCCCCCAGGACTACCCTTTACCTTATGCTCTGTTCCCCCCAAATGCCGGTGACCATTTGCTCCTAGATTCTTATTCTTGGTCAGGGCTTCTTGGACTTCCTATGGAGACTTCAGAAATACTAAAGGATTGCTAGCTTGTACCACTAAAAATCTGGAGATTTGGTGGGAGTTGAAATTTCTTGGAGCTTCATACTTCCTCTCAAGAAGCCATCTACCTTTTATGTTTTGTATGTCCTATTACATGGGCAAAGTTTTCTCCTAAAACTTCGGGAAAATGTACCTGACTTCACAGTTCCAGAGAGGGTAGTTTGAGAAGCATGGTGCTCATTACAGCTCATCGTGAGCATAGCAGGTAGCACTCCACGAGGAGGAATCTCTGAAGCCTGGAGATAAGGAGATTTGGGGCGCAATCTGCCTAACAAAAAGTTGTTACCGACAGATTTGAGACACAACTGAAGCCCAAGTTTCACTCTGTTAATTGCTGATAGAAAAAAGAGCTCACAGCTTGAGAAGACAAAATGGTAACTGAGATGTAGTTAGTGTTCTCTGAAGTTCTGTATATGTTACCTGATATAAAAAAAAGGGTATGCAGATTTAGATTGATTTGCATGAACTGTAAGCCAGTTTGTGCTTTTCCATACAAACATCTCAGGTTGGAGCAACCATTGATTGCATCTTAATTTTGGACACTGACCAGCATTAAAAATTAAGAAACAAACACCAAAGACAAAACTATGTATGTCACTTAAGAGTAAACCATTCCTCCTTGTAGGTGCTTTCCCAAAGTCACTGATTT